TGTAGCGGGGATGTTTGATCTTCCTAACGATTGGACTGCTGTGGAAAAGAGCTTTATAGCTCATCGGATTCCCTCGAGCATAATTCAAAATTCTGATTCTGTTTGTCCAATTCCATTCGTAAGCGCTCATACAAGTGGGAGGAATCCAGAATAATAGCCGGGGGGGGGGGGGGGGGGGTAACTCTCAATCCCTGTACAGATGGAAATTAATCCTCTTCATCTCCTGCTATCATACTCTGACAAACGACGAGATTGCGAACCCGACGTTCAAAGGAATTATCCACGATTACAGTGTGGATGATGATACTTATGTTGTTACAGCCCGGTGTCAACCTACTGCTGGATGAAGGCCTCCCCCCCCCCCCCATGGCGTGTCAGTCATGGGGGTTTGTTTGGCCATACTTCACCGCGATTGTCAGCAAAGTTTGGTGAAGTGAGAGGCCGGGATCTGGTTCGTACGGAGCGAAATGCGATGCATGGTTAGTGAGTTTTTTTGTGGTTGTTTGTTATCGATAAATCAATGTACCGTTTTAGTGTTTAGCGGTCATCCTTTTAACATTGCGGCGAAATGAACCTTATGGCGGTTCCCCGGGGTTCCATAGTACCCCGGCTCTCGCATAATGTCTCCATGATAGTCATTTTTAGTCTGTTGATGGTCGGCGATGCGGCAATCGACTCATCTTGACGAGCTGTACACGATGCGCCGCTACGGTGCGTACGAGCGTTCAGGGTTTCAGCGCAATCATTGATTTCGGATTGATTGGTACCCCAGTCGCGGAGTTAAGTAACACCCCTGGACAAAATAATGTCCCAGAAAGATAATATTTAATTGCCTCGGACATTTTGTGTTATTTGGTACCCCGGGGTACCGCCATAAGGATCAGTTGTTAAACACATTTACAATTGGCCGAAAATGTACGTTTGCATTTTTTTGAGATCCGTTTCCTATTTTATTTTGCTCTTCTGATGTCTCGAAATTAAAATTAAAGGGGTAACAGTAGCGCAGTGGTTAGCACATTGTGTCACGAACTGAGTGACCTACGTTAGAGTCCCAATCACGGCTTTGACTCGTAAACCATAAAAGTGGCGAGTGAAGTCTAAACTCTGCCCATCACCAAACCCGCACTGACCAGCGTGGTGAAGTATGGTGAAACAACTTCCACGACCGACCGGGTAGTGGATTGACGAAAGGGCTGTGCATTATTCATCATTAATATAAACAAAATATATAAAGCTTTAAGTCAATATTTAATTTAAGCGTTGTAAAATATAACTTGCACAGACACACGGCAATAGTGAGCCTCAGAAAATCCACACTTGTTCAGACATCGCAATGCGAGGTTTGTGTTTACCATAATAACAACAGCAATAACAACAACGCAATCCATAGACCTGCAGGAATTCAGATACATCTCCAACTTAAAATCGTGCAGGCCTCAAACACCAGGGCCCTGCAAAGGATCTTAACAACGGATTGGGACACCACTTGAGGCTTCCGCAAGTTTCTAACGGGGCCCTGATTGCGGTCGACAAATCCTGGATTAGGACGTGCACTTTAGTAACAGGATGAGACATATCTGCCCGAGGGATTTCCATCTAATTCGCACGCACTATCGTATATTAATAATTAAAAATAGAATACATGTCAGGCGTGTGCCAATCCACCGCTAGATGAATGCCTCGCCCCACATTCGCTCTGCGTCAATCACGGGGGGTCGTTTGAGCATCCTTCAATGCCTTGCTGCATCAAAGCGCACGTTTGGGAAGTTGGGAGACTCAAGACCGGTTCTGATATCGCTTTCCACTGACGTTACCCGTCGCCAGAAATCGAACTGAGGGCATAGCACATCGTAGTAAACCACTGTAGCACCTCTCCACCAACATCATTACTGGTACCATGTAATAATACTAACTTTTAAAAACAATTACAGGTCCATTGCCAATCCGCTGCTGGATGAATGCCTCCTCACACCGTGTCAGTCATGGAGGATGTTTAACCATACTTCACCAAATGAGTTTGTGTGGGTTGTTAAGAATTAGGGGCAGAACCGGGTTAGCTCTCTCCCGGCACTAATGTTTAATCCATGGCCGGATATCAAACTCGGGTTGCCGGGTTCATAGCGCAGTGCTGTTAGTGGGCGCTTATGGTTGGCACAGTGCTGTTAGAGGGGTTGTCTGACGTCTCTTAGTGCGCATGCTTACAAGTTGCACCAGATGCTCATTTAATGCTAAATCAACCCTGGGGAAGGACCAGAATCAATTCAGATATTCCTTATCGTTGACGTTGTCCAACGACCAAGGATCGAGTCCAGGTGTGTGGGATTGTGGCACAATGCGGGGAACAGTGCGCCATCATTGCACACTGCAGCGAGGTTTGACTTTAAGTTTAATAGGAGAGCAGCAGTTTTAGAACATGATGAACAAATTTTTTAAACGAAACTTAACAATGTTTTTTTTATTTTACCAGGCAAAGGTAAACTGGGTTATAAATTTTGATTTAAAGCTTTCGCGACTGCAGGGATTCATATTCCTGGTTCTTTCGGTAAAGTCACGTAGAAGGGAAACAATAAAGTAATACAAATATAAAACAATAAAATTATCACGACGTTTCAACTGCAACACAAGCAATCATCATCAGGTGTGAAAACCACAGCAAGAGAATTTGAAAAAAGTGGCGGTTTTTTTAACGTTAGCACCAAGGAGAGCGATTTAGCAGTTATTCAGATGGACGAGTCCATCTATGTTCGGAAAAGAGGAGGGGGGATACGAAAATAATGGATGCGGTCTGAAAGCCACCTTAAGCGTGAACAATCAATTAAGACCCGAAATGGTTTATCAAACCCTTCCAATGATTGCTAAGCCAGAATCCATCTTCTCGGTTGAAATTGTCTGTGCATTCATTATTTTCGTCTCCCCCTCCTCTTTTCCGAACATAGATGGACTCGTCCATCTGAATAACTGCCAAATCGCTCTCCGTGGTGCTAACGTTAAAAAACGCCACTTTTTTCAAATTTTCTTGCTGTGGTTTTCACACCTGATGATGATTGCTTGTGTTGCAGTCGAAACGTCGTGAGAATTTAATTGTTTTATATTTTTATTATTTTATTGTTTCCCTTCTACGTGACTTTACCAAAAGAACCAAGAATATAGGTTATATATCTTTTTTTTTAGAAGCGACGTGGCCACAAATGAGAGGTCAACGAAGTGGTTCATCATGTGGAAATGTATAGCAGCCAAATACTCTAAAAGGGAAAAATCAGAGGACCCGGAGAAAAATCCACACGACCACGGGGTGAACATGCAAACTCCAAATATACAGCAGGCGTCAGGGTCGGGATGGAACCCACGACCTCCTGTATACCAGGCAAGGTAGTTAACATCTCCTAGCCACCGTGGCATGCCGATACCAAAGTGCTCACATTACATTTTGAAACCCCTTCTCCCTGTCCTATTGGAATGGCAAAATAAGTACAGAAATCTCAGGTGCTAGTGGCAGCTGGTTGCTATAAAATGTTCCATCCTAAGCAGCTAAGATTGGATTAAGCATTCTCATTTCATTTCATTTTGACGGCGTACGTAACCAGGCGAAAATATACACTTATACAATGTAATTTGAAATTGTCCTATTTGGAGTTAATCCGATATCCCGCTCAATATTGTATTTCGCTTAAATACTCTCATAATGCTCCTCTCCTATATCTCTTTGCCAGTGGTGATGCATTTTTTATTAAGCCGTTGCACTTCGTGTGATGAATCTGTACTACAAGACTTAGACGAGATGACATGAAGGCTGACCTGACAGGTTCACAATTCTCTGGAGCGATCCGCGTGTCTCTTGTAACGTTCGTTTTAAGACCCCTGAACTGCATGTCCAGCATGTTGCCCGATACGCTCAACCGGATCTTATCCGACTTGTGCTGGCTGTGCACGTGGCCTGTAATCCGGGGCTGCGGAGGCAGTGAGGGTTAGTGGATCGCACAAACGTCCACGAAACTCCCTTCCCGTGCACGTCTGGTGCCATACCCTGGCTTGCCAGGAGAAGACGATACAGCAAAGTGCCCTTTCTTTGTGGGATAAGGTGTTGTCTTCTTGCACGTGTGGATTTTCACCGGGTGCTCCGATTTCCTCCCACGTCTATAAACACACTCATTAATTGGCTGAAAACATCTTAATATATAAAGGACTGCAGACCTTTAGCAATTGTTGGTACCGGATCATCGCCTGGTTGTTGCCTAAAAGCTTGTGTATGGTTCCTCAACGATTGTGAGATGCAGTTTTCACGAACGACGCTATATATAGCTCAACATTACTATTTCCTGGATGAATAGGTGTATCGACAATTATCCATTTATGTTTTTTTACACCATTCACTGACATGGCTGAACAGGAGCACGTTTTGTTATAGAGGTTCGCAGTTCGAGCCCAGTAGCCGCCCTGGTGAATACTGCAGGTGTATCGACCGAAAATAACGTGCCACCTGCTCCACAGTGGACATTAAAGAATCAGTGATAAGTAGGCCATGTGTGCAGGTGTCATCATCCACATTTCAAAAACCGCTTGGAAATTACTTAATTAGGAAAACACAAAACTACATGGTCCCTGCCCCCCCCCCCCCCCCCCCCCCCCCCCCCCGACTGCGAAATAACTGCAGACTGTGGCCGTAAAAGACAACGCCTTTGTAATAAAATGGTACGAATGCCAAATGTGCGAACGATTCGATTTGACGATATCTCCCAATGGCACGGGGCAACTGCCTTGACGCGGCAAAGAAGCGTGATGATATCCTTCGGCGCTCGCGATGACTTCGCCACGAGACTTATCGACGCATGCATCCACTTTGCGTTTGTTATCCCACGCTTACCCACTCTTGTACTGCTGAACAACACCGCCGCCCCGCCCACCACCACCACCACCCACCACCACCACCACCCACCACCGCCTCCTCTGCTCACCGCCCCCCCTCCCCCGCCCACCAAACTCCAGCGAGTTTAAATCCTCAAGCATAGGTACGGCACGGAACGAGAGAGCAGTCCAGCGACATCGCGTTCCGAATCACCCCACCAGGAACAGCAGAGGAGCGCCGGTGGGCACAGAGAGAGTGTTTGTGGGACGGAGAAATTCATACACGGCCCTTTTTTTCTGTTAAATAACTTTAGTGTAGTGCCGTTAGCCACACGCGTGACTGCAGTAATTTATTAGCACGTTGGGTTTTTGTTCTTTCGAAAAAAAATTTCATTCTCATTGCTTTGCCGCTGTGCAATCCTAAACTCACAATCCTTCAATGCTGTCAGCGCGAAATTGAAATATATTTGAAGTTATATTTGAAATTGCATTGGCAATTCTCCTAATCGAACCTCGTCGCAATTAAACCATCGTTGTCTGTTTGTAGTTTAAACAAAAACAGCGGCAACAAAATCAGGACGCCTGCTACATTTCGCGGGGACGAACAAACCCACCGCCGGTTTACGCTGAACACAGAGACAGAGAGGGTATCGGCCAATCTGCCCCCCCTCCCACCGCTGCCCTCCTTACAGCCTCCAGATCGTCAAATCTTGCGCGTAACCGAGGAGTTTCCGCCGCAACCCCCTCCAAAACAACAACAGCAGCAGAAACAACAAAAACAGCAGCAGCCATGGGCCAACATCAAATGGGCAGGGAGGAGACGATCCCGGGCGGGCAGGAGATGGGAGTGGCGGAGCTTCAGGAGTGGTACAAAAAGTTCGTGGTGGAGTGCCCAAGCGGGACGCTCTTCATGCACGAGTTCAAGCGCTTCTTCGGCGTCCAGGAGAACGGCGAGGCGGCCGAATATCTGGAGAACATGTTCCGCGCGTTCGACAAGAACGGGGTCTGTACCCGCACGCCACCCGGGCCACCCTCGTGTTGCGTTTCGGCGCGCGTCCAAGGGTCGCCCAACAGTGGCGGGCGGCCATCGAACAACAACAACAACTAAAATAACCCCGCCGCAAATCAAGGTTTTTGCCTCGATAAAGTTAGAGGGTTTCGTGAGATGAGCAAGGTTGTACGAGTTCGGGGTAAGAAAGAAGGGAAATACAAAGCGGGGCGGTGTGAGGGTCGGGGCAGGCGGTGTGGTGGGGTTGAACAAGGCGAGGTGGATGGGTCCTGCAGACCGATCCCTCGACAATGGGTGGAGAATTCAATACGTGAGGTTAAGGGGAACGCGAACCGCGGTAGTCGTAGTGATAAGGAGAGTGGTAAGGAGAGCGCGTGACTGATTTACGTCTATCAAGTGCGCAGTGAGGCGTTGTCTTGCCTTCACCCCAGGCAAAGACAACGGTATTCCTACTTTAGGTCGAATTAGTGCTTTGTGTAGTCGCAAATAATTACTGAGTTTGCTTGCAGGGGGTTTAATTTCTCACCGAATAATTTCTGGGTCGATGGGAGACACAGAACCAGCGGCCGCAGTCATAGTGACAGGTATACTGGACGTGGTGTGCCGCGCATGCAAATATTTTCCAGGGTCCTTGACCTGGACAGACCCAGCTGAAATTGAACCCTGGTTTCCAACATTACGTGGTTGGCAGCGACAGCACGCATTCGTCTCGCGAGAGCAGCCGACCCCACGCATAGAACGGGAGGACTCTTGGCTTAGAAAAGAAAACAAATATGTACGTAAGATGCAATGTCCATACTGCCAACGCGTCTACTTTGGCTATTTTAAAAGCTGTCGTGATTCGATGCTGTTGTGCCGCAACATACGACTCCCAAGCGCACTACTTTTGCGCGTGGTCTTTATCCACGTTTTGTCTAATTCCGATCGTGGCGACCTTAACAGCGCAGTAGCGCACACTGGCAAAAGGTGATGGTGTTTATTTTTTACCACACGTACTGGGCAATTTAGGAACTATGCATACCGCAAGTACTTCACCCAATGACTCGTGACTCATATTTATCCAGAGGTAACATTGGTTCCATGACAACTGTGATTATAAGCAGCCCCTGAATTCTTAAAATTATCCACGGTTATCTGAGATTATTTTTACCCCGCGAGATAAGTTGAGTAAATTGACAGATAATGTGATCTGCGATATTGGTTACCAACTCCCACGTCACCAAACATTAAGGGAGTTTTCTCCACGATAATGTTTTGGCTGGAAGTGGTGGCTCACGCGTTCCCAGCAAGGGAATAATGAGCCTCAACAGCCCTTCGTTTGGTGGTATGAATACCAGAATCGTGTTGAGTAACTGCACTGTGACATATGTATTGTTTTACATCTAAGACAATCTGGATTGTTTTCACACAGAGACTGTTTAAACATTTTTGCGAGAAAAACCGATCCGTTGTGTTTTTTTTTAAAGATGACATTGAGTACCAATTTTTTTTCTTGAACGACAAATTATCCTCTTTTACGGGAAAATACCTTGAAGTTTTCTTCCAATACACGCGCATAAATGGAAGCAACTGGCAACATTTATCACTAACACTGCCTTATAACAGACATAACACATATAATAGACGGATGTTTCAGATGACGACCCTTCTTCAGTGCAGAGAGAGAGACAGTGACGGCAGAGAGAGACTGATTTGTAGTTGGAGGTCACACTTTACACCGTGGAGGCCTCGATAGAGCTGGGACATTTTACGAATGTTGACAGATGAACAGTTCTAAATTGACAAGATCAATTGTCTATTCGTAGACATTGAGTACCAAGCAAACACAAGAAAGTTGGCGAATTAACATTTTTGAGTTTAAGTATGAACGATTTTCAATTCACTTCTTGTTCAATCACCACGCAGTAATATCCCTGGCATTTTGCAAGATAGTTGTAAAAGATTTGTATTTTACAGTCAATATTCCTGTAAACCAGCTATTAACCAAAGTTATGCATATTTTCCCGCATCTCCGATTAGCATGGTTGGCTTCGTATCGTGCGATAAAAGTTTAACATACATACATACATTGGTGACACTTTAACACGTAGGCTTTCGCGACCAATATTATCCATAATACAGTTTTTTCGGGGTTAGATCGCGTAAATATATAAACTTGTCGTTAGACCCGCCACCACCCGACATAGCCAATAAGTAATGTTTGTCACCTAAACGGAACATGTCAATGCGTTACTAGTACAGCACACCGGTGTGTTGGTGAGCAAACCCACAACATTTACAGACTGAGTACTTCAACCGCAACCAAACCTTACCAATTGGCTGTGTCGGGTGGTGGAGGTTTTAACGACACACATTTATACGAACGCGATCTAACCCGATCGCTGACACCGTGGCTGTGTCCGCCGGCCCCCTCCCGCCGGGGCGGGCACGCAGGACAACACGATCGACTTCCTCGAGTACGTCGCCGTGCTGAACCTGGTGCTACGGGGCAAGCTGGAGCACAAGCTTAAGTGGACCTTCAAGATATACGACAAAGACGGTAGTGGCTGCATCGACCGCCAGGAGCTGCGCGAAATCATCGAGGTGCGTGCATCGGACTCCATCCCATTGCGACGAGCGTTTCAGAATCAATGTCTGGATTTATACTGCAGGGGGAATCCGATGAGCTGTAAAGCTCTTTCTCACAGATGTCCAATAGGGGCACGGGGTCACAACGTTACAAATCAAACTATAAACTTTGTTTTTTAATCTTACCAGGTAAAGCCCACTGACTTATTAGCTTCTTTTTTTCAGAAGCGACCTGGCCACAAATGATAGCTCAACACAGTGGCTTATCATGCGGAAATTTACAGCGGCAAAAATTATCTAAATTAATCTCACTCTGTCTCGGAGCGCTCGTCAATTCTCAGAATATGTATTTATTTATACTTGTCGGGCGGGGAGACTGTGATTGGAGGGCATAAACAGATTGGACAGGAGGCCCCAATTCATTCCTCAGAGGGCCCTTCCCCAGCACAAGATTTCGTTTCAGGTGGATCTGGGGTTGGTATAGTTTGTATATTCGATTCCTTCCATTTGCTGTTGATCACTACTGATACCCGATGTCGAACACTCCACATCTATTCACCATCGTTATGTAATACGTTCTGTCAAAAATATTTTTAAAATTTAATTTTAAATGTTATATACGACTTGTAAAGCTGATCCAAAGATAAAACGAACGAAACTACTCTACGTTCGGCGCATCGCTGGTCGCGCCCCTAAAGCCCCTCGCGTTAATCCGGCCCTGTCCCGTGCCAACGGCACCCCGCCACCGTCCCTAATTTCGATCGGATCATTGGGGTTTATTAGTAATAAATCGGCATTTTGCGACCCCCACTGCCACTGTGCAGCGTATTATTACGTGCCAGGGACTCTGTGAGATGATAGGACAATAGTCTGAGTCCATAATTGGCAATAAGTAACGGCAAAGCAGTTATAAGTGACTCACAGAATTGTGCGCAGTTGCGTATACAGAGTACACGACTTCCCTGAAGACATTCACTTTCAGCGAGCGCGATGCCGATCGCACACGGTCCGAATTCGACCCTCGATCGATGGCTGCGCCATCGCCGCACACGCGTCGAATGAAAAGCAAGGGACGAGTCCTTACTTACTAACAACTCCTTACTTACTAACAACTCCTTACTTACAAACAACTTCTTACTTACTAACAACTCCTATATCATTTTTCATTGCTGGAGGGGTTGCCCCCCCCCCCCCCACCTGAAAATCCTGGCTCCGCCATTGCCCACGCTGGTTGGGAAACGGCAATCAGCTCGCAATTCGTAAGGTTGCGAGTTCAAATTCTAGGTCGGGGATTTAACTCAGCCCATCACTCCTCCGGGGTCCATAAATTGAGTGCCACTTTGTGGGGCAGTGAACGGTTGTTATACTACGGAGAGTCCCGCCTCCGCCATAGGAATGTGGAAATTCCGCCACATTCCTAAGGTGGGGCTATGGGAAGGAGATGAGCAACGCATCAATGTCCATTTCAGCAGCAAATCCTTTCGTGAATAACCCTTCTGAGCGCGATGCCTTTCAGTCCATCTACAACATGAAGAAAGCCATCAATCAGCAGGATGAGGGGCCCCTTCTCTCTCCGGACGAAGTCTGCACGCGCATATTTAGGCTCATGGACGACAACGATGATGGTGAGACGACATAACTACAACCATCAACAACCGTGTAACTCAGTGGCGTAGCGCGGTTACCATGGGCTCTGGTGCATGAAACATGACCAATTTACCCCCTTCTTCATATCCCGGCGCCTAGGCCGTGGCGAGATGTTAACTACCTCGCCTGGTCTGCAGGAGGTCGTGGGTTCAATCCCGCCGCTGACGTCTGTATACTTGGAGTTTGCATGGATTTTTCTCCGGGTACTCCGGTTTTCCCCTCCACATGTATACACATGCATTTAGAGTATATGTGGCTGCTATATATTTCCACACGATAAGCCACTTCGTTGGGCTATCATTTGTGACCAGGTCACTGCTAAAAAGAGCTATATAGCTCAGTGGGCCTTAATAGGTAAAATAACAATAGTTAACAGTTGTAGTTTGTTTGTGTGTGGTGGTTACCAACCCTAGCACTTTTTCTGGCTCAACCCTGCTGCTTAGCTTCAAAACTCGGATTAGATTAGGTGCTTTCTGGGTGATTTATGCAGGAGCAAATGACATGAATTCATGCAGTATTTACAAATGTAGTCGAACGTTCTCGCAGAAGTTCATTCCGGTGCCCGTGGCGCGGTGTTTCGCAGGCGAGCTGTCACTTGAGGAGTTCCTGGAGGGTGCGCGGAAGGACGCGTGGGTACTGCGGATGCTTCAGCTCGAAATCGACCCCAGCATCTGGCTCAGCGAGACTCGACAGAAGAACACCATGCTGGAGCAGTGAAACTGCCTTGCCCTTCCCTGCCCTCTCCTCTCCCACCATGCCCTTCCCTGCTCTCTCTTCCCTACCCTCTCCTCTCTCATCATGCCCTTCCCTACCCTCTCCTCTCTCATCATGCCCTTCCCTGCCCTCTCCTCTCCCACCATGCCCTTCTCTGCCCTCTCCTTACCTGCCCTCTTCTCTCGCATTATGCCCTTCTCTTCTCTCTAACATAAATATATAGAAGGGCTAACATATATAACAATGAGCCTTCTTTAGAAGTAATGCACGTGTTATTGACTGAAATTGTACCCTACTATATATTTGCCTGCTATAAGACAGTGTTAATGACCAGTGTTTGTTTATTAGACAGGCAAGAAGATGCACAAACATTTCGGAGAGATTATTACTGTTTGAACCAATATTACTCTCGAAAAGAATTGCTGGCTACAGGCATATAATTATGTATTAGATCATTCAAATGTATGCTCACGCTCGCAATTCATCCATTCCATCGTGCATGTAACGATTACTATTTACTATTTAAAAAAATAAATGCTCATGTTAAATGTAGACGAATGGGATGAGCAAAACAACACGCATGAAACAAGAATGTACGGGGACAGACAGACAGATGAGACGAAATAAAAACCATTCTTGAATCAAACAGCAATTCCAAATCATGACATTTCATCACATTGAACAAGAGGTGGGTTCTTCCATGCTCATAAATGGCCAGGAATCTTATTGTGTGACCTTTAAAAATAGCAAACATCCAAACCCGTGACTTTCTTTTTAAAAAAACGGTCTTGAGATTCTGAGAGATGTTCCTGTATAAATATACAAATTGTGGTTCTTTTTCCCACTACGGTATTGTGGACTTATAATTCATAGCCCATGAGCAACAGCCAAATTTTATCTTCTTGGCTTTCAACCTCTTAACTGTCAAAATATATAAACAGACGATATGCCTCTTCACGTAGAAAATAAAACATTTGAATACAGCCCATTGTTCCCACGACCTTCTGGGAGCGCATCATTTCAGCAGCATTAAGTACAGTTTAACGCGAAGGCTTTCGCGACCAATATCATCCATAATAAAGGTCTTTGGGTTGGATCGCGTAAATATATAATTGTGTCGTTAAACCCGCCACCACCCGACACAGCCAATTAGTAAGGTTTGTCACGTAAACAGAACGTGCCAATTCATTACTAGTGCAGCACACCGGTGTGTTGGAGAGCAAAGCCACAACAATTACAATCTGGGTACAACCAAACTCTGGGCCGTATTCTTTGGTTCTTTCACGTAGATAGAAAAAATAACAATTAAAATAAAGTTAATAAAAATATCACAACGTTTCGATCGCAACATAAGCAGTCATCATCAGGAAAAGGGATTATCCTCTAAAGGCAAACTGTTTATAAAGGTTTGGAGATGGGCGTAGCCCAAGTGTGTCAGCAGCACCAGCAGCATGGGCGGGGCAGCAATGCCAATGCAACAGCAATGCCAATGCAGCAGCAATGCCAATGCAGCAGCAATGCCAATGCAGCAGCAATGCCAATGCAGCAGCAATGCCAATGCAGCAGCAATGCCAATGCAGCAGCAATGCCAATGCAGCAAAGGGCCGCCAGGAAATCACTGTACCCCGCTCCACACACCACACTGCTGACGGTGGAGGTTGATTGACAAGAAAACACAAGTCAAGTCATGACCCAAAGTGGTTGATGACATCTTTCCAATGATTGCTGGGTCTATAACCTTCCTATCGGTTTAAATTGTGTCTGTGTCTGTAAATATGGATGGCTTCATGAACGAATCTTTGTTGATAGCCAGTAGGCTTTCAAAGTACCATCGTCTTAGAGAAATAAATTTTGTGTGAGCCAGCCGCATTAAAATAATGATCAGCCACGGCAGAAGTATTGGTCCTACCGTATTTAAAATCTGCCTTATGCTCTCGAATATGGTCCGAGACATGTCGCTTAGTTTCCCCAATGTAACTGCTGCCGCAGATACAGCTTAGTTTGGAGACGCCCAGATATTGCATGTCAGGAATCTTGTCCTTCACAGATGGGATCAGATCACGAATTGTATGTACTGTGTTAAATCGGACCTGGATCTTGTGTTTGTTCATGAATTTGGAAATAGTTTGGTTACCCGTGTTATGTATGGCAGGGCGATGGTTTTGATTGGATCCTCAGATGGCTCCTTCCTCACGGTTGGGGTGATGGCTTTGCAGATTGTGTAGTCAGAATATCCATTCGCCTTGAGAGCTTGGTGTATGTGTTTGAGTTCACTGATCAGGTGTTCATGATCGGATATACATTGAGCTCTATGGTGTACCGTTTTGATGAGGGAATTCTTCTGGGATGGATGGTGGTGGGAATCAGGTTTTAGGTAGGCGTCAGTATGGGTTACTTTCCTGGAGCGACTTTACCGAAAGAACCAAATAATATGAATTCCTGCAGTCACGAAAGCTTTAAGTCAAAAATTTACTCTGGACCGTTTTCGATATATAGTGTCTCGTCAGCAGTCATGCTTCTATGAAACAATTTTGGCGAACTGCTAGATGTTATAGGCAAGGACTCTCTCTTTGAGATATAGGTCCTAGTTAACATATAATAAACAGCATACTATGATCATTGTCGTCATTATGGATAATATGAATAACAAAAGAGATAGGCAATATGTACTTGCCTAGCTTGTCTGGGTTCTAAGTCTGGGTAATCGTCAGCATTAGCGGCCGTAAATCCTTGAAGCTACCGCGTCCCTGTCACGTCTCGTCTTGAGAGCTGGGATCTAGGCCACCGAGACCCTAATGTGACAGATAATCCAGGTCACGGGTTCTCTCCAGGCTCCTGCCGCGCGACCTCTACATGAGAGTAGCACTTCGTCAAAGCGCATTAGTAGTTATAAAAAAAACTGGCATGGTTGGGCGATAAGTCACTTGCGCTGAAAGCGGGACAGCAGATATGTGTAAAAGCGCCTCAGCGGTTCCGTAACATCATGTGCTCCTTGGCCACGGTTTGAATTTGGATTACTGGCGATAGTGTGACACGTTTGAGATTGAAAACGCATCTCTTTAGAACAGCTGTTTTTGTTCATTGTTTCTTTCGGTAAAGTCACTAATGCAGAAACAGCACAAAATCATATTAAAACAAATCAATCACGACGCTTTGACCGCAACACAAGCGATCCTGCAACACAAGATCTTGCAACACAAGATCGCCCGTGCTGCGGCCGAAACGTCGCGATCGATCCACTCCAACATAATTCTATGGCGCCTCCACACACGCGACCCCACCGAAAAAAAAAACAATGAGCCAATCAACGGCTCCCCGCGCGAGTGAGTCCGCGTCTCCACGTGAGCGAGCCCACGGCTCCGCGTCAGCGAGACCCCGGCTCCCCGTGCGAGTGCACCCCGCGAGCGAGTCCACGGCTCCCCGCGGGAGCAAGTGGGCCCCCAAGGCCACAACCATCCCGCCCCCCGCCCAGCGCGCCCACCCGGCCGAGCCGCAGCACGGGCGATCTTGTGTTGCAAGATCTTGTGTTGCAGGATCGCTTGTGTTGCGGTCGAAGCGTCGTGATTGATTTGTTTTAATATGATTTTGTGCTGTTTCTGCATTAGTGACTTTACCGAAAGAAACAATGAGTAATTTATGCAGTCACGAAAGCTTTAATTCTTTATTAGCTGTTTTTGTGTTTAGTTTGTTGTCCCCCCCCACCCCCCGTGCACCTTCGATTAGCACGGTTAGCTCCGATCGGTGCGAAAGAAGTTCAACGTACATACGTACATAAGTGTTGAGATGTTCGCATCCCCGTGCCCTGCAGTCATGCATTTTTAGCCAGCGACCAATGTTGAGATGTGCGTGTGAGTTTGTGATAATGAAATAAGCAAATTCACTGCTCCTGTCGAGTCGTTCCACCGGTGGATGAAGGCCTCCCCATGCCAGGTCAGTCGTAGGCGCCGTTTGACCATACCTCATGATTGCCAGTCAGTGTGGGCTGGATAATAAATGCTCCAAAAGGGTTTAGATATCTCTCGCTGCTGATGGTTAGCCTTGGGCGGCAACTAAATTCAGGTGATTCACCGTGTGTTTAAGGGCCATATTCATAGATGTCAAGGAAACATTGCAATTGTCAGTTTAACACGTAGGCTATGGCGGCTAATATCATACATAATACAGGTTTCTGGGTTAGATCGCATAAATATATCAATGCGTCGTTAAACCCGCCACCACCCGACAGCCAATTTAGTAAGGTTTCTAACGTAAACAGAATATGCCAATTCGTTACTAGTAAATATTGACTTAAAGCTTTCGTGACTGCAGGAATTCATACTCTTTGGGTCTTTCGGTAAAGTCACGTAGATAGAAAATTATAATAGATCACGACGTTTCGATCGCAACACAAGCAATTGTCATCAGGTGAGACAACCACAGCAAGAAAACTGCTGAAGCAGGCGAGAGAGCTGCCGTGACACGAGGTTATATAGGTATCGGCGGTAGGGGGGAGAGAGAAGGGGGGGGGAGAGAGGGGGCGGGGCAGAAAGTGGGGCTGTGGAGCTGCGTGAGACACTGGGGGAGAGATCTGAGAGATCGGTGGTAGGGGGAGAGAGAAGGGGGGGAGAGGGGGCGGGGCAGAAAGTGAGGCTGTGGAGCTGCGTGAGACACTGGGGGAGATTAGCATATCAATGTGAGAAGGCCCAGCCACCAGAGGTGTGCAAATGACAAACCCCAAAGAGCAAGAGGTACACATGATGAGAGAGAGGCACAGAGAGAGAGAGAGACACACAGAGAGTCAGAAATAGCAGCCGACATAGGCAGGTAGGATGGAAACATCACAGTCAGTTAAGACTTTACCTGGTTAATAACGTCCCTCCAATGATTGCTCAGTTTGTACCCATCTTCTCGGTTGAAGTTGTGTCTGTGTTTATATATGTGGATGGCTTCATTAACAAATCTCTGAAGGTAGCTGGTGGGTTTGCAGAGTACCTTCGTCTTGGAAAAATCAATTTCGTGTGAGCCAACAGCGTTAAAACAATGATCAGCAACGGCAGAGGTATTGGTCCTACCGTGTTTCAAATCTGCCTTGTGTTCACGAACGCGGTCCGAGACATGTCGTTTCGTTTCCCCAATGTAACTGCTGCCACAACCACAACTCAGTTTGTAGACATCAGGGTATTGCATGTCAGGAATCACATCCTTTACAGATGGGATCAAATCACGGATTATGTGTACTGTGTTCAAACGAACCTGGAGCTTGTGTTTGTTTAAGATTTTGGAACTCTTTTTGGTAACTCCTGCTTATGTATGGTAAAGTTTTCTTGCTGTGGTTGTCTCACCTGATGACGATTGCTTGTGTTGCGATCAAAACGTCCTGATCTATTATTTCTTCTACCTACGTGACTTTATCGAAAGAACCAAAGAGTATTAGCATGTCGATGTGAGACGGCTCCCGCAGCAGCGGCTGTGTTAATGAGAGAGACATTCAGCCTATTAAACAACGAGCGACACCGCCGCATCGAGGAAAATGGAGCAGCAGCAGCGATGTTAGTGAGTAAAGGGCGACCGAAACTGAATTTTTGGTTTCGGCCGAAACCAAAAGTTAAAAATTTACTTTCGGCCGATACCGAAAGTAAACCGAAAGTTAACTTTTGGCTTCGGCTGAAACAGAAACTATGCCGAAAGAGGCCATTTGCCAACTTTCTGCGCCGAAACCGAATTTCGGTCGGCCTCTATTAGTGAGACATTTAGCCTGTTAATGTGAAGACATTTAACAAGGTAATGTAACTCAGA